CACAAAAGAATGATCTTAAGTTACAGGAAGTCCAGTTCCATGTGAATTTAGAAACAACTTCTCACTAGCAAGAACAGTTCAAGGGGAGAATTCAATACCCAAAAGTTCAGGTAGCTTTTTCTTCTGTGGTTTTACAACTGTATTATTCTGTTTGGAGAATCTAACCAGTGCAGTTAATAGCAGAGCATGGGGTTTCATAAATAAGCTATGTTTAGGCTGTGGCTCAGCATTAAATTGTTCTGTGACTGAAAGTCTTTAAAAAAAATGCACTCCCCTCCCCCACACACACTCAGAAATGAATCTAGCCCTGCTCATAGTCCATGCCCTAATTCAGTGGTTCTCAATAGTTTCTTCACCACAAACCCTCTTTAAATACCTTTTCTGGCCACAGACCACCAAGCCTTAACTCAAGAATTAAATCACAACATTTCTTCAAACCTTTACAGATCCCCCTGTGATGACATTGAGGCCTCCCAGGTATCTGCAGACCACAGGTTGAGAACCACTGCCCTAGTCACTTCCTCTTTTGACTACTGCATTGCACTCGACATGGGGCTGCCGTCAAAAAGTATCCAGAAGCTTCCATTGGTTCAAAATCCGATGGCCCACATGGTTTTTGCAAGTCTAAATTTGAACATGTGTCACTTCTGTTGCAGGAGCTGTACTGGCTGCGGATTTGCTTCCAGGTCCAATTCAATGTACTGGTTGTCACCTTTGTCACCCCGCATGGTCTAGGGCCAAGTTATTTCAAAGACTGTGCTTTCCCAGTTACATCTACTGACCCGTCATAAATAGGAATCAGGTCCCAGGCATCTGAATTTTGATCATGTGACCACAGCGATGCTGCAACGGTTGTCAATGTGAAAAACGGTCATCGGTTGTTTTTTTTCAGTGTCTTTGTAACTTCAAACAGTCACTAAACGAACTGTTGTAAGTTGAGGACTACCTGTAAATCAGTAAACCTGCCTTCCCTTCAGCCTTCATCTCCCTTCCCCCCAATCATTTTCCAACCTGTGAGATCTGGCCTTCAGTCTCTCACCTTTCACCTTCAGCTTCGTCAAGAGTTAGCCAGGTGTAAAGCCTGAAATTAAACAGGCAGGCTTGAAGGAATGTGGGTAAACAGGAGCTGTGTTGATGCATCCACCCACCCACCTACCCACCACAAAAGAGAAACAAAGTTAAATGGTCTACAAAGAAAAAAGAAAAAAACTTGCTTGGGCATAACATCCTAAGCTAAATCCCAAATATGACAGTATAGTATTTTTTAAAAAGCATGTTTATTTACTAAACGTCTGCAAAGAAAGACAAAAAAAAAATGCAACAGTGGTAGTACAATCAAAGGAAAGTAAAATGCTAAGGTGACCAACTTTTTTACAATGAAAAGGAGGACACAAATAAATTGAAGAAAAAAATATCGTAAATAAAAGAAACATTTTATTGATTGCAACAATAATACAGACAACTTGCATGTGCAAAGTTTGCCAGCTGGGTGTTTTGGCGTGCTCAGCAGCAATTCCTATTGGCTTTCGAAAGCCAATAGTGGGAGTAGCACAGCTCATGCAAAAGTTGAAAAAAAAAACCCATCAAAAAAAGGTGCTGGGGTACGCCATTCTGACGTTCTATGAGGGGAAAAAAGAGCCCTGCAGATTAGTCTTCAAATATCGAAAAGGAGGACATGAAGGAGGATACTTTTTGAGGGAGGAGGACTGTCCTCCCTAAAGGAGGACAGTTGATCACCTTAAAAATGCACACAGTGGTAGTGAATAAAATGAACTCAAAAGGGTGGGTGAGAAAGATTTATACAGTATTAATATAGAAGTAGCCAAATTCTTCAACGTAATATTAAATCTATACTATTAGGAAACTTATTTCTCCATCTTATCATTTTTGTAACATAAATGGATTTCAGTTATTGGTAGGAAACACATTTCTTAGATCTACTTTTTAATATTTGGAGCACTGATTGTTTTGCACCTTTATAATTTCCTTTGACAAATTCTAGCCCTGACAAAGGTAGAAATCATTTAAAAAATGAAATTCCATGTTTTTATGGTATCATTCATGATTGCATTTCATGTAACTGTTTTCCCTAAAGTCTGTTCTAATATAAATTATGACTTAAATCCAAAAAGGATCCATAAAGGAGCTTAACTAAATCATCTGAGTCAAAGAGACTTCAACTTTTTTATACCAATCACAGAAAAATCCTGATTCTCATCCTATTTAAGACATTATTTGAGGAACCTTATAAACAGTAGTAGTGCAATCAGAGGAAACTAAAATACAAACAGTGATAGCTATTCCGTATGGTTCTTCAGGTGAATTCACTCCAATCTTAAGAAATATATTTTATGTTTCTTAAAACCTTGGGCCCACTGAGTTTCCAAAATTGGACATTCAAATTCAATTTTTCCATGTATCATACATACATATTAACTTTTGTCTTTTTACTTTCAAATAAAATTAAATTGTTGATTTTATTTCAACTACATATCTTAATTTTCCATGTACTTTTAAAAATCTAAAGCATCTGAGCCATATTTTGTTAGCATATTTACATGTTTTAATTGTATTACACTGGCAAGCAAGTTACAGATAGTCCTCGACTTTATCACCACAACTGAGCCCAAAATTTCTGTTGTTAAATGAGACATTTGTTAAGTGAGTTTTGCCCCATTTTATGACCTTTCTTGCCACAGTTGTTAAGTGAATTACTGCAGTTGATAAGTTATTAATCTGGTTGTTAAGTGAATCTGGTTTCCCCATTGAGTTTGCTTGTCAGAAGGTTGCAACAGGTGATCATGTGACCTTGGAACACTGCAACCATCATAAGTATGAACCAGTTGCCAAGCATCTGAATTTTGATCACATGATCATGGGGATGCTACAAAGGTTGTAACTGTGAAACATTTTTTTTCAGTTGCATTGAATGTCATTATATTGTTGTAAGTTGAGTATTACCTGTATTGATATAAGCTACATTCAGAACATAGCTTCTGAAAAAGCTTAGAAGACTAATCAGTTGCATTAAGGTCTTAATTGCTTGACTTCCAATGAAACATCTCCCCCATTTTCAAATTAGGATTAGTCCAATGTCATTAAAAAAAGTGGAAAGAGGGGTACGCAACTAAGACAGAATATCAGCAAATAGCTCGAGCCTACAAAGATTAAGCAGCAGGAGTGACAGACTGGTGAAAAACAGCATCCACATGCCAAAAAGGGGTGGAGCCTATTTGACAATGCTGCTTTTATCTTTCTCATAAGGGTTTTCATGGGATTCCAGATCAGAATTTAATGGCTTTCCAATTAATTAATGCCCAGTTGCATCTAGCAGCTTTCAAAGCTGGGAAGATCAACCTCTGATGTTGACCAAATAACTTGTGAAGTATTCAAAGGAGCAGTGTTTCTCAACCTTGATAAGTTTGAAGATAGGTGGACTTCAACTCCCAGAATTCCCTGCCAGCATGGAGCACCCATTGACACTCTACACAGGATAAGTCTCTTCAATTCACTCTGGCCAAATTTCAATTCATTTTAGCCAAATAGGGCCAGACAGTGGCTTTAATTTGTTAAATTTTCCACTTTTCTTTTAACATCTATATGTTTGTGGAATGAAGATTTCTTATTCCTCTCTTGTGTAGAATGTCAATGGGTGCTCCATGCTGGCAGGGAATTCTGGGAGTTGAAGTCCACCCATCTTCAAGTTGTCAAGGTTGAGAAACATTGCTTTAGCTTAGGATGAAGAAGCCCTGTTGTAAAAAAATCTAGGTATTTTGAGAATGTGCTCCAAAAATGTAGTTTGAACCATATCAAAACCCTTTTTAGTATTTAGCACAAGGCTTAGTGCAATGTATGAGCCAAGTCAGGAATAAAGGTGGTGGTGGGGAAGGAGATTAAGATGTTGTAAACTGATTTACCAGACTCCATGGGTGAAATGCTGGTTTAAGGTTAACAGCTTCCTTCTCCCGTTCCTCCCACAACTTAGGCTACAGAAGCAAGAACCCAGCAGTTTGATTGGCAGTCTTCTCTTTCACATCCTGCATTAATTTTGACTCAACTGTTAAGTCCCTAATAAGACATTTTAAGTATTAATAAATCCTGTAGGAGGAAAACCGTGTGAGTTTATGGTAGTCGAAATTCGAAAGCAGTCTGGTGGTACCTTAGATCAGTACACTTTATGAAAACGTAGTGTACTTGCCTTTTAATAGTATTTGTTTGCCTGAAAAGGTACAACTGGACTCGTCCTGATTCTCAAATCTTCCTCTGTCTCCCTTTCCAGCTTTCTGACAGGCAGAAGTTCAATAGGTAGTGAACATACCTAAGTTTCATCTGCTGAGCTCTGCCCTATAAACAGACAATTAATCTACCAACCAGCTTCATCTTACAAGCTCTGTAAATTCTGTATCAACCTTGATTAGTTTCCATCCATTGCTTCTTGTGCTGTCCTGTCCTGGAAATTAGCTGCCACAAAGAAGAGGGAGTCAAGCTATTTTCCAAAGTGCCTAAGGGCAGGACAAGAAGCAACGGATGGAAAACTAAACAAGGAGAGAAGCAACCTAGAACTAAGAAGAAACTTCCTGACAGTTAGAACAATTAACCAGTGGAACAACCTGCCTCCAGAAGCAGTGAATGCTCCAACACTGGAAGTGTTTAAAAAGAAACAGGACAGCCATTTGTCCAAAATGGTATAGGGTTACCTGCCTGAGCAGGGGGTTGGACTTGATGACCTCCAAGGTCCCTTCCAACTTATTATTATTATTATTATTATTATTATTATTATTATTATTATTATTAGTTTTTTCCATTACAACCAGTTCTCCCTGACTAGAAAATCCGAGGGGTTCTCATCCCATTTTCCACATCCCCTCTTAAATTGACCAGCAGGGCGGAGAGAAGAGAGAGACAGGAAGGAGGGGAGGGGAGATAAGTGGGGGGAGAGGAGAGAGACTATATAGGATTTCAGCTGTGCCGGAGACGATCACTGCCAAGATGCTTGTATTGCTTATTTTCCTGGCATCGCTCTGCCACATCCCTCAGATCAAGGCAGGACCATCTAGAGTCCTACGATCTAGTTCCCAATCTAGTTCTCGAGACAAGATAAAAGGGCTGGTGAGTACAGATACCCTCAAGAAAGCAGGAAAAGTGGGGAAGGGTCCAGAGAGTTAGGATAAACGGTTGGGTAATTGAGAATAATCTCTTCCCATTTCCCCTGCCCAAAGGGAGGGGGCAGAAGGCTGAATGTGAAGGAAGGAGAACACTATTTGGGGGGAGATTATTGGACTTTGGGAGGCTATTATAAGGCAGAGAGGACAGATCATGAGTTGGGGAAAGAAATTGGTGCCTGGGATTAAGAGAGGTAGGAAAAGACAAAGCTTGCAAGATAAATATAACTCACCTGGGAGGATTATAATAAAGGCTGAATGGGATTCACAGATTTGTTGTGCATGTGTCTTTTGTAGCATTTTGTTCCTCTTTCAAGAAAGATCAGATTGACTCCTTGGAGTTTCAAGTTACAGGCTGCCCACAGGCAGGAAATCATTGATCCCTAGCATCAGTTTCTTTCCTCTTTCTCTCCCCCTGTAACTAGGTAATAAATTGTGGGAAACTGGGGGCCCTGAGAGCAGTAATATATTATCAGATTTACAGATCTTTTTGATCCTCTTTCTCGTTGTCCAGAGCATCATAATGAGATTCAGCAGTATATGCATCTGTTTTTTCAGTACTGGCAGGGTTTGGAAATACCTGAAGCATTTACAGAGTGTTTCACATCTGCAAATGTGATTTACAAACACACGAAACCTTAAGAGGATGTGGTTTGATCCCGACTTAGCATCTTGCATGAGCCAGCTGCAATTTATTCAAAAATTTAACAAACTATGGTTTTTGAAATGTTGTGGAAGCTCCCCAACGAGCTGCCTAACAATGTAAGTCGATTCAGAACCAAGCTGCCTTTCAGATTTGGGATTTGCTGACTTCCAGATTTTGGCCACGGGGAGGAGACATTTGTTAGGCTCCCAAATTCCCACAGTGGGAATTTGTGGAATTCTTTGAACAAACCCTTTCGCCTGTGAAAATTGCCCTCATCTTTTTCCTGATGGCATATTTGGTTCTTGAGCAGTTCTGATCCTCGCTCAGGCACTAATTTTGATCATGGGGAATGGTGATTCTTGAAACTCTTGTTTGCTAAGCAACTAATAAAGGTAAAAGGATTTTGTGAAAAATTTTAGAAAGCATACATTGTGCCCTTGCCATCACTTGGAAACACTGAATGGGTTACAAGGCTCTAAGCCACCACATGCTTTGTGACATTTCAGCTCAGCTCCAACTTTATTATTATTATTATTGATCATCGCACAGTCAGCCAGATGTTCAGACTGGATTTGGCATTTTGTCTATCTATCGAGTCCTTCCCAAGGACCTGGGATAGGCAGATGTGAATGTTTGATGGTATTACAGATATCGTCGCAAGATGGAAGCAGTTCCTAGTAAGGCCGCCTTTTGCAATTGACTAATGGCAAATTTGTCAATACCAATGGTGTTCAAGTGGTGCTCCAGTTGTTTTGGGATTGCACCCAAGGCATCATCATCATCATCATCATCATCATCATTATTATTATTATTATTATTCATTGCACAGTCAGCCAGATGTTTAGAGTGGATTTGGCATTTTTGTCTACCTATCAAGTCCTTATCAAGGACCTGGGATGATGATGAAGATAATAATAATAATAATAACAACAACAACAACAGCAACAACAACAACAAAATACAAAAACCTACAAATAGAAATAGAAAGATTCTGGCAAAAGTCAGCAAGGGTATTAGCAACAGTAATAGGCGCCTTGGGTGCAATCCCAAAACAACTGGAGCACCATTTGAACACCATTGGTATTGACAAATTTGCCATTAGTCAATTGCAAAAGGCGGCCTTACTAGGAACTGCTTCCAACTTACAACGATATCTGTAATACCATCAAACATCCACATCTGCCTATGCCAGGTCCTTGGGAAGGACTCGATGGGTAGACAAAATGCCAAATCCAGTCTGAACATCTGGCTGACTGTGCAATGATCCATAATAATAATACCGTATATTCCGGCATACAAGACGACCCCCGAGTTCGACGCCGGGGTCGCAAGACAATCGACGCCGAGTCGCATGCCTAGAAAGTCATCTTGTACGTCGGAAACTACTGATATTTCCGGCGTATAAGACGATCGACGCCAAGTCGCATGCCTAGAAAGTCGTCTTATACACCAGAAACTACTTTATTTCTGGCATATAAGACGACTCGGCGTATAAGATGACCCCCGAGTTCGGCGCCTGTTTCAACGCTCTCAAAAGTCGTCTTATATGCCAGAATATACGGTAATAATAATAATAATAATAATAATAATAATAATAATAATAATAATAATAATATTTCTACTGCCTTAATTCTACCGCCATTCAGAAATCCAATGTTTTATTGCTACTATATTTTGGTGTCTTTAAATGTATCTCATTTTCTGTTCTTATGAAAAAGTAGAGTAAGCTACAAGTAGGTCTTCAACTTACAATCATTTGTTTAGCGACCATTCAAAGTTACAATGGTACTGAAAAAAATGACTTATGACTAGTGCTTGCACGTAAAATCTTGCAGCATCCCCACGGTCCCGAGGTCAAAATTCAGGTGCTTGGTTTCTCTTCAGATCATATAAATGTTTCACCTTTTATTGAAAATCCAGGTGCTTGGCAACTAGCATTTATTTACAATGTGGAAATATGCCTGCTGCTTGGTGCCTGAGCTATTCCACAGACTCCATAGCTAGAATGAAATTCCTTTCCCTTCCTCTGCTGCTAAAACTGAAGTAGCTTCAAGCTGAGTTGATTGCTGTTTCTCTTAATGTATAATTTGGCTCACTTGCTTGAAGAAGCAATTCTCTGTAGAAGCGCTATCAATTTTGCAGCGTACTTAATTTAGCAGGAATGGAGGGTGGCTAAACTAGGGATAAAGAGTTTTACTTTGGGTTAATAAAACATATTTAGTCACTGAAATCTATGGTTTCCTCCCACAATACCTAATGAATTTGCAGAATTCACTTTAAAAAAAAAAATCTCCTGAAAGATGCAGCTTGGAATAATTCAGGAGCTGCTCATCACTGAATACAAGTTGAAAGAAGAAATTGGATAAATAAATACTTATGATCCTGTTTTATATGCTTTAAAAGAGACCTTCTGTTCTACTCTCCTCACTGTGAAACAGGGAAAAAGGCAGCCCAGCTTTCAAATCTATTTGGAGGACAAGAGCAATAAATACTGCAAGTGTTTCAAAAGTGCCTTCTATGAAAGATTAATAACATACTTTAGAGCTGTTGGTTTTTTTGTTCTGCAACCAGGATGGAAAAATAAAGGTTATCTTATCTTATCTTATCTTACCTGACACTCCTAAAATCTCAGCCTCTCTGTCCTGTGCCTCATTTCCTTCACATTTTTCCCTTCTTTGAGAAGAGGCCATTCAAAAAATTAGTATCTTTGGAAAAAATCCAGTATTTCCAGGCTTGGACCATTTTTCCCAATAATTGCAGCTGCATTTCTGTCTTTCCTTCCAGTGGAAAGTAATGTTGACTAGCTGCTTGACCTTTTCTTTCTTTCTTTTTTTTAAAAAAAGACAACTAACCCAACCAGCTGCAAACAGCAGGGGCCATGTGTATGGATGTTATACATCAATGGGTAAGATACATTGGGGGAAATTGACCCGTCCTGGAAACTGAGGCAAAAGGGTGGTTGTAGTGAGGTCACGGAGGTCTCGAGAAACCAGGGGGCGGCTCTTGAATTCTGCAGAAGCCTCCATGGAGTCAGACAAAGGAGGCTTTCAACGGGCCAAGGGGCTGTGGTAAATTGGGAATGTATTAAACTCACTCAAAAGCTGTTCAGAGCCACTTAGAATAGAATAGAGCTGAAAGGGACCTTGAAGGTCTTCTAGTCCAGCCCCCTGCTCAAGCAGGAGAACCTATATTTCTTCTGAGTGGTTGGGTGGCCTGTAATATACACCTAAGGTAATGTCACTTTTTTTCTCTTTTATATTGACCCATATACATTCTGGAGAGATTGTATCTTGGATCATGTGCATTTCTGTAGATATGTTGTGTTCTCTTACATATAGTGCAACTCCCCCTCCTCTTTTTGTAGACCTGTTTTTTTTAAAAAAATAATTTGTATCCATTCATTAGTCCAATCCATTCATGGGTTTCATCCTACCAGATTTCTGTAATGCCAACTATGTCATACCCTCCCTCGTTACTATTGCTTCTAGTTCGTCCTGTTTGTTCCCCAAGCTTTGAGCATTTGTATATAAGCATTTAAGACTTTATACCTGTTTGTGGGCATGTTTCCTGCATCTCCTGATTGTTGTTTGGGTTTTTCTTTTTTCTCGTCTCTGCCTATCTCATGGTTTGATTTGTTTTCTTGGGATTTATGATTAGTTTTGGGTTCTAGAGATTCTAAAGATTGGTCACCCTCCCCCCTCAATTTTAGTTTAAAGCCCTCCTGATGAATTGGGCCAGTCTTTTTCTGAGTACATTTCCCCCTGTTTTTGTGAGGTACAGCCCATTCCTTGCCAGGAGTCCTTCACATTGGAAATGCAGTCCATGATCCAGGAAACCAAAGTTTTCTTGGCGACACCAATCCTTTAGCCAATGGTTTATTTCTAGAATTCTTTTTTCCCCTCAATGGGTGATAGCCTTTCGTTGGAGTACAGATGAGAACACTACTTGTGTTCCTAGCTTCTTAACTTTATTGCCCAATTGTTTGCAGTCTCTCACTATTGTACTCAGGTTCTCTGTTGTGTCATTCGTCCCAATGTGGAGGAAGAGGAAAGAGTAGTAATCAGTAGGCCTAATTATTTTGGTTAGATTCTCAGCCACATCTTTAATTTTTGCTCCAGGGACACAACATACCTCTCTGGATTGTATGTCTGGTCTGCAGATGGATGATTCCGTTCCTTTGAGGATAGAATCTCCTATTACCAACACTCGCCTTCCTTTGGGGGGGGCTGCAGTCTGGGGTGCTTTTCTGTTTATCTCTGGTGTGTTTGTTGATGTGACTTTTTTAGGGATATTTGAAGTTGTTTCTTTGCTAGGCATGTTTTCTGCATGTTTTCTTTGAGGGAGAGGTTGTGACTCTGCGTGTTTCCACCTAGGGGAGAAATCAATTGCTCAGTTTTAGTGGGGCTGTTTCTGGTTGGGATGGATTGGGCAGGAGGGGTTTGTTAGTTGTATGCTGCTTCTTTCTTTGAGCATGGTATTTCCTTCTATGTGTGACATACTTCCACTATTGGGGTTTGGCTAGAGTTGCCTCTAAGTTCCTTACTTCCTAGAGTGCTGTCTGCTGGTCATAGAGAGAGATGCAGGCAGAGAATTACCTCCAACTGCAAGTGAGTTGTCCTCTATATCTGGGATTATTACCTATAGCTAAAGCATTGTCCCAAAGGTGCTTTTTAGCACTTATTACTATGGTTTGTGATGTAATATGCAAACCACTTTGGATGTAAGAGTTGACTGCACTTTTATTCTTTTTTTCTACCCAGTCAAATCACCAGTTGAGATTTACAGCTGTTTGCAGAGCCCCAGAGTCACATGACCATAGTTTATGATGTTTTTGACCTATGTTTAAACCTATGCTGGCTGGGGAACCATGAGAGTTATAGTCCACGCATTTTAAAGTTGTTGAGATTGAGAAACGCTGTCTTACAGAATGCTCTTGCTTTCTGTTCCTTAATGATGGAAAGAGGCTTTGAGGAACAGCTCATCTGGATTCTTCTGAAAGTTGAAGGCATCAGCAGAAGCCATTTCTGTCCCAAAGCAAACGGGAAGCCATTTTAAGGCTTCCCCTCCATGGTTCTGCATCTCAGTTCTCAGTTCTTCGTAAAGAAGGAGGAACCATTGCTCTAATCTAGAGAAATGGAAGGAGAAGCAGTGATGAATCCTCCTGAGAGACAGCCCTCCAGGCAGCTGGGGAGAAAAACTGCTGTCCTAGCACAGCCTCAAAAGGGAATCCCCAGGTGAGAACAGAAAGACGTAGTACAAACAAGAACAAGATGCTCCTTTGGGGATTTTTTGGCTTGAATTCCCCTAGAGCAGCTTGCTTCAACTGAGCATGCTCCAGATAGGTTGGAACTGCAACTCCCAAAATGCATAGCTAGCATGCGAGCCAAGAACTGTATTGTAGATACAGGGAATTGTAGATCCATGGCACTGGGAGCTTGCTCAACTGGAGAAGAATAACCTATTATTTGTTAGCCAATCATCCGGCCCGTGGGCCGGCAGTTTGACATGCCTGACCTACAGCAACCATTCCCAGTTATGACAGTGATGAAAAAAGTAACTTTATGGTCAGTCCTCACATTTACAATTTTTGCAGATCTATAAAGCAAAGGAAAGTTGAAGAAAGATTGTAAGCACAGTCACAGTTTCATTCAATGGCCACTTCACTTAACAACTGATTTACCAGTTCCAAATTGGGTTCCTAAACAAGGACTACTTGTACTGTGCCACGATATAATAGTTATGTTTATATAATATGCCCTAATTAGATTTTACAATTGACTGGGCTCACACAACCTGCTTGACCTTAAGCAGGGTTTACAGATCACAGGGGAAGGTTCACACCCCCAAAAGCAAACTGCGTTATGGCTTACAGTGTTGTATGAACCTAGGTCAGGGGTAGGCAACCTTAGCTCTTTTATGACTCGTGGACTTCAACTCCCAGAATTCCTGAGCCAGCCATGATGAGGGGAAAGGGAGAGGTTTCCAAGCTGAGCCATGCTGGCACAGGAATTCTGGGAATGACACGAGTCGTAAAAGAGCCAAGGTTGCCTACCCCTGACCTAGCTGGTGTGGTTTGCTTCATTTTCACTTAGCCTGTTGGTTGAACTCGGGGGGGGGGTGTTTTAATCAATAAGCTACTATTAAACAGATTGTGCCCTGGTGTACAGATAAGTCCTTGGCTTACGATCACAATTGAACGCAAAATTTCTGCTGCTAAGCAAGACAGTTAACTGAGTTTTGCCCCATTTTGCAGCCTTTCTTGCCACAATTGTTAAGGGAATCACTGCAGTTCTTAGGTTTAGTAAGGCCGTTGTTAAATGAATCTGACTTTCCTATTGATTTTGCTTTGTCAGAAGGTCACAAAAGGTGATCACATGACTCTGGGACACTGCAACCATCATAATTGAGTCAGTTGCCAAGAATCTAAATGCTGATCACATGACCATGGGGATGCTGCAACGGTCGTAAGTGTGAAAAATGGTCATAAGTCCTTTTTTCAGTGCCATTGTAACTTTGAGCAGTCACTAAACCAGGGGTCTTCAAACTTGGCCCTTTTATGACTTGTGGACTTCAACTCCCAGAATTCCTCAGCCAGTGTGCCTGGCTGAGGAATTCTTGGAGTTGAAGTCCACAAGTCATAAAAGGGCCAAGTATGAAGACCCCTGCACTAAATAAGCCGAGGAATACCTGTAATGTGTCAACCCATTCACCTTGTTCTTTGTAGAGCTGCCCCATTTTGGGTTCAGGCAAGCAAACCTTCCCCAGTAACTGTGTCTCTATGTTAAGTGAAGGAAAACAATTTCTGAATTCCTGTGGCTAACCAAGGCTGAGGGGCTCTGCTCACAAAAAGCACTATCCTGCCATCTCTGCCTGTCTGCTGACTTGATGTACCATGTGAATTGTGTCCTCACAGGAATGGCTGATGCGCTATGGCTACCTTCCCCCACCGGATCCCAGAGCAGCAACTCTTCAAAGCCAAAAGGAGTTATCTGCTGCTGTTAAAACAATGCAAAGGTTTGCAGGTCTGCCTGTAACTGGGAAACTGGGTAGGTGTCTTTGTCCACTGAAGGATGCTGGCATGAATGTAGGATTACTAGACAGCCAACAAAGGAGGACATGTCCTCTTTTTGCCCTCAAGTTTTTATTATTTTTTTATTTATGTCTCACCTGTATTATTTTTACAAATAACACAAATTGGCAAACATATCTAGCACATCTTCCTCCTCCTATTTTTCCCACAACAACAACCCTGTGAGGTGGGTTGGGTTGAAAATAAATGACTGGCCCAAGATCACCCAGCTTGCTTTCATGCCTAAGGTGGGACTAGAACATGTGGTCTCCTGCTTTCTAGTCTGGTGCCTTAACTATTAGACCAGGGGTCACCCTGCTGGATCAGTACTAGGCCGTAACATGCCAGCAACCAGTCCAGGAAAGCCCCATCCACAGGATGCAGGCAGCACACAAAACCATGCCCCCTCCAGTCTGCGGAAAAATCTCTCTCCACATAACCGGTCCCTGGTTCCCAAAAAGTTGGGGGCCCCTGCACTAAACTCTAGTTTTCCATCCAACAGCTTTTTAAGTATTATTTTTGTGGATGTGTGAGTGTGTGTGTTCTGGACTGTTTTAATAAAAGTAGACATTCAAATTTTCATGTAAAGTTGTCCTCACTTAATGACCAGTCACTTAGCAACAATTCAAAGTAATGACAGATTCCACCCCCAAAAGGTACTCACAATCTGCATTTGAAGTTCCGGATTGCCAGTCTTCCCCCTGAATTTATGACTGTTTGCAGCATCCTGTGATTGTGTGATCATGATTTATGACATTTTTGCTGGAAACCAGTATTTACTTCCTGTTTCTGGCAAAAACCATCCATTGGAAACAATGGGTTTGTTTAATGACCACAGCATTCACTTAATGACCACCACAAACATGGTAAAAACAGCTCTCTCGTGTGATGACCCACTTAACGACCAGTATGACTTATAACCGTAATTCCTTGTTCAATTACAGTCGTAAGTCGAGGACAACTATATTGTGACATAAATTGTTGCTTCATTCTTTCCCAACAGACTCAACACCCTAAGTTATTTGTCATTTCATTGATTTTGTGACTCCAGCAATTGGCTTAAAGCCAACCAGTCAAATTTATTATTGCTATAATCTACAGATCATATGATTTGCTGTATTTTTTTAGGATGAAATTTGAAAAGTATGTCGTCATCAATTTGATATTATTGTTAGCACATGTTTTTGAAAGTAAAGTGTCATGGTTCCGACAGATGAGACTCTTCAAAAGAACTTGGAGGCATTGTTTACCTTAAAGAATCTTTGTTTTGAGTAGCATAACTTCGGCACTGCATAATTGAAGCCAAAAATTTAATTCCCCTCCCCTGAGCACCTAGTATCAAAGCACAATTCCCTCCTTCAATTTACAGTCATAAATCACATTCCCCAATTAGCTTGAAGGCAGGTCTCCTCTCCAGTTCTCCAGCCCTGCCAAGTCCTTATCAGCTCTGGTTACAATAACCTTGTTTTCTCGGCTAGGTCTAGTGTTATTATGTCTAGCTGGACTCTTGTTCACATCCCCTCTCCCAGCATCATCTAACTGTAAAAGCAAAAGGTAAAAGATGGCTACATTTCTCTTTGTTGTCAATGCAAAAACATCCGATGTTAGCAGTGTTGATATAAAGATTTCTTGGAAAAATAATTGCACTTGAAAAAGCAAATTTTTCTGAGGCTAGAAAAAGTAATTTCATATTCATGTGCAAGTACAGTAGTTCTCAACTTACAATTGGTCACTTAGTCACCCTTCAAAGTTACAATGGACCTATCTGTGGGCCTGCTGATTCAAATTTCCAACGGTTGTCCTCCAGATCATGTGACCAAACCTGAAGCACTTGGTAACTAGGCCATATTTACTGCTGTTTGCAGCATCCTGTGGTCATGTGACTGTGTTTTACAATGGTTTTGCCAAAACTGCCATTTACTTTTAACGTTAAGTCGTTTGCTTAACGACTGCCGCAAAAAGGAAAATAAAATTGGTTCTGTCATGTGAACAATCTGTTTTACAACTATCGTGACTTACAACCATGATGTACAGGCTCCATTACTGTCATAAGTCAAGGACCAACTGCATGCCTAATTACTTTTGTTTTGTAGTTTTTCACTATAATTTTTGTTGCAAATACCAAGAAAATTAAACTAATTAGTGTGTGTCCTCCTTTCCAATGTTCCCTGTCTTCCTTGGCCTGTTCAGAGGTCTGGTAACCCTAGATGCATTCTGATGGAGTCACATCATGCTTCTTGCTAGTAAACTGGGATAAATAGAGCCTCCAAGGCCTATCCTCCTGATCTGTGCTCCCTGGCTTCTCTTAATTTATGCCAATTTTCTGAATGATATTCCTTTTCATGGCTCAAGATGTTCTTCAATAGTTCCAAATTTGATGTAGGTTGTGACACCATCTATTAAAAGCAATATTTGTGGCCTGACCATCACCTATTTGCACTGGTTTAGGATTGGAGATACTGATACTAGAGTCCAAGCAAGTGTCTTTTAAATATTCTCACATACAGGAGCTATACAGGTAGTCCTCGACTTACAACCGTTTATTTATTTAGTTAGGTCTTTATAAAACATATAAGCCACCCCCATCTTACTTCAAGATAATGGTTTAGTGACTGTTCAACATGATACCAGCGCAGAAAAAAAGTAATTTTTGAGGTTGCAGCATCCCTAAGGTCACATGATCAAAATCTGGGCGCTTGGCAACTGGCTTGTATTTTTGACAATTAAAATACTGTATCCCCGGGTCATATGATCCCTTTTTGTGACCTTCTGACAAGCAAAGTCAATGAAGAAGCCAGATTCACTTAACAACCGTGTTACTAACTTAACAACTGCAATGATTCACTTAACAACTGTGGCAAGAAGGGTCGTAAAGTGGGGTAAAATTCACTTATCAACTGTCTTGCATAGCAACAGAAATGGGCTCAGTTCTGGTCGTAAGTCGAGGGCAAATTGTAATTTCAGATGGGAGCAGAGAAAGGGACCTTGAATTAAAATCAAAACATGGAAATTCCTCTCTCTTTTGCAGATCATGAGACTTTGAAAATGATGGACAGGCCTCGCTGCTCTCTCCCTGATTTCATTGGCACCTCGGAGTTGATGCGACGTAGGAAGAAACGCTATGCTCTCAGTGAAACTGCCTGGAAAAAGACCGACTTGACATGGCAGTAAGTCTAATAATCCCCTTTCTTTTGAAGGAGGAATCCTGCGAATGCGGAGTTAAGCTAACCACATCTTCTTTGCTGTGGTTTTTGTCTTCCTGTGATTTGTGTTCTGACTTCCAGTTCTCATAAGAATCATAATTCAGCATCTCCTCTAAATTGAAGAATTATACTTACGGTGTGCAGGTCATCCCCGGCTTACGACCGTAATGAAGCCTGCCCACTACTTTGTAAGTAGTGACGGACATAAAGCAGATCAATCATGTGACCAACCCGATTTTATGAGCTGTTTTGCAGTGGTCATTAAGTAAATCCATGGTCATTAAGTGAACAATGTGATTTTTAAGCAAACTCATTGTTTGCTATGGGGTGTTTGGCTGAAAAACAGAAATAAAAGCCATTTTGGGGCAAAAGTGTTGTAAATAGTGATCATGTGACTGCAGGACATTGCAAATGGCTGTAGATGCAGACTGCTTGCCAAGCACCCAAAATGCAGTCATGTGATCATGGAAAGCAGCAGCCATTGGAACTTTGCAAATAGCTTTTGAGAGGGTCCACTATAACTTCAAACGGTTGCCAAGCGACTGAACATAAGTTGAGGACTACCTGAATACTCTCTTGTTAATTTCTTCTCTACTGAATTTTGTTATCTACTTCTTATTACATAACTTACTGACTGGGCAACTGATGGAGTTACAGGTAGTCCTTGACCCACGACAAGGGTCTTGAAACTTGGCAGCTTTAAGACTTGTGGACTTCAATTCCCAGAATTCCTCATCCAGCTGGCTGAGGAATTCTGGGAGTTGAAGTCCACAAGTCTTAAAGTTGCCAAGCTTGAAGACCCCTGACTTACAAGCGCAACTGAGCCCAAAATTTCCACTGCTGAGCAAGATAAGTGAGTTTTGCTCCATTTTACGACCCTTCTAGTCCCCATTGCTAAATGGATCACTGCAGTTGTTAAGTTAGTAACACGGTTATTAAGTGAATCTGGTTTCCCCATGGACTTTGCTTGTCGGACGGTTGCAAAAAAGTGACCCAGGACATTGCAGCCGTCATAAATGTGAGCCAAATGCCAAGACTCCAAATTCTGATCACGTGACCACAGGAATGCTGCAATGGTCGTAAGTGTTAAATGGTCATAAGTCACTTTTTTCCATGCCATTGTAACTTCAAACAGTCACTAGATGAATGTCTATAAGTTGAGAACTACCTATACTCTATCATAGCCGTTGCTCCCATTTGGAAAAAAGCTACTACAATTTACTGCTTCTGTTTCATTTTTTCCTTATGTCTCTCTTGTTCCTGCACCTTTATTCACTTTGCCATCTGTAATTAATTTTCATTATTCTTTTTTTCTTGTGACACTGAATATCACAAGCTGGGAACAAATGTATCCTGTAAGAGGATATTGCCTACACATCCTGTTTGTGGGCTTCCAGTAAGTCTTTGGTTGGACATCTTGCAAAACAAGATAGTGAACCACATAGGACTTTGTTATACCCTCATCCATCGAGACTCATCTGGCCTTACCTTATTCCAAGGGGTTCTCAACCAGGGTGTTCACACCCCCTGGGGGTGTGAGACAATATTCCAGGGGGTGCAAAAACTTGGGTTTTAAAAATTATAGTGTATATGTATAATTCGTTGTCATTATTTTGAACTTTTGTAAGGGGTGTGAGAATATATCAGAAGAGTTCTAGCGGTGCAGGGTATAGAAAAGGTTGGGAGCCACTGCCTTATTCTTTCTTTCTATTCTTTGTTTCCCACACCAGCATCCATTCCTTCCCTCATTCCTCGCAACTGTCCCACAATCATGTCCGGAATCTCATTTTCTACGCTTTTCGAGCTTGGAGCAATTCTTCAACCTTGACCTTCAAAGAAGTGTCTTCTCAGCAAGCGGACATTGTGGTGGATTTTACGGCCTCTTATCATGACGACCCATACCCCTTTGATGGGCCTGGAGGCACCCTGGCCCATGCCTTCTTCCCTGGAGAACATCCCATTTCAGGCAATACCCATTTTGATAATGAAGAGACCTGGATTTATGACCCACAGAACGAATCACCAGGTATCTTCAGAATTATGACACACCACATTACCGGACTTCAGAATCTGCTAAAAATATTGTCCAAAGAACCTCAAATCTTGACTAAAATGTCCTTTTTCTCCTGATTTCAGATCGTGGCACAGATCTATTTGCTGTAGCAGTGCATGAGTTTGGCCATGCCTTGGGACTGACTCACTCTTCTGTTAAAGAGTCCATCATGATGCCATATTACCAAGGTCCTGTCGGTTTGCCCCACCTCTATCAACTTTCCACAGATGACGCCATGGGAATTCAACAAATCTATGGTGAGAGGTTTTGGTCTTACCAAAAACGCAATTCTTTAATGCCATCCTCTTTCTTTCTGCCTTGATTGATACTTCTCCTCCTTCTGGAGCATTTTACATGTACCAATCACTGTTTCTCTATTGCTTTCTCTTGTGCTCTGCAAATGATTAGGAACCATGGATGTTGTACAAAACAAGTTTACAAAAACACAATTCTTTAATGCTACCCTCTTTCTTTCCACCTTGACTCGTATTTCTTCTACTTCCTGAGATATTTTACTTGTACCAACCACCGTTTCTGTATTGCTTTCCTCTCGTGCTTTGCAATGACCACGATGATTAGGGAGCATGGATGTTGTACACAACAAGCTACTAAGATTGAATTTGAGGAAGTTGTTCTTTTCTTTCATCTTTTGATATATAGACGTAGTCCTTGACTTACAACAGTTCATTTAGTGACTGTTCAAAGTTACAATGTCACTGAAAAAGGTGATTTATGACCGTTTTTCACTCTTATGTTCATTGTAGCACCACCGTGGTCATGTGATCAAAATTCAGATGCTTGGCAGCTGCCTCATATTTATGACAGTTGCAGTGTCCCGGGATCACGTGATCTTCTTTTACGACCTTCTGACCAGCAAAGTCAATGGGGAAGCTAGGATTCAATTAACAACCGTGTTACTAATGTACCAACTGCAGTGATTCACTTAGCAACTGTGGCAAGAAAAGTCGTAAAATGGGACAAACTCACTTTCACTTAGCAACAGAACATTCCTTCTCCTTTCTCATGTCAGGAAATATCTCATACCGTCTGTTAGTCCATTTGATCTGTGGCCACCTCATTATTTCTCTCCTGTTTGTAGGTAGGCGGCATCATAGTTCATATCCAGATCAAGACATTCCAGTGCCACCGGTTCCCACAGCACCCCCGATCCCAGACCTACCACCAGACAAGCCGAAAGAAAAGTGAGCCTCTTTTCTGATTGGTTGAGCCTACTAATTCTCCCTTTCCTCATTGGCTCTTGTAACTGTGATGCAACAAGAGTCCTTTCCATAGAATGACAGCCACTGAGCCAAATCTGAGCACAATTCAATGCAGGTGGTCCTCAACTTACAACCATTTAGTGACCATTCAAAGTTGCAACAGCACTGAAAAAAGTGACTTATAATTGGTCCTTCTACTTATAACCATTGCAGTGCTCCCATGGTCACGTGATCAAAATTTGGGTGCTTGGCAACCAGTAGGTATTTACAATAGTTGCAGTATTCTGGGCAGTGGTGGGATTCAGCCAGTTCGCACTACCTCAACAGAATTGGTAGCTAATTTTTTGTTGCCCAGGCCCAGAATGGACTTCTGGAAACAGTATCCACACAGAGAACTGGTTGTTCACATATTTGAATCCCGCCACTGGTCCTGGGGTCTTGTGATGGCCATTTGCATCCTTCCCAGCTGGCTTCTGATAAGAAAAGTCAATGGAGGAAGCCAGATTTCTGAATGACTGCATGAGTCACTAAACAACTGTGGTGACATAAAAGATTGTAAAATCAGGTGCAACTCCCTTAATACTGGGGCATAAAAACCAACTGACAGACAGACAGGGTGAAGGTTGCAGTTGCAGTTGTTCCAGCTTGGTCCTTCTCCAATGCTACCTCTTGGAATTGTACCTGATCTTATTGCCAGTTTTCATGCGAATCCACTGTGGAATGGGACAGTTCTGCTTCTGCTTCTTAGTGAGGAACCACTTGATCTTGAAAGTCTTATGGGACGATATCATCCAACGCGGCCACTGGCTACCTCAATGGCAGCTGATGAAGAGCACAACCTAGGTTTAGATTTAAAGGACCACACTAATGCCAACTGAAATAGCAGCCTAGAACAGGATTTTTCAACTGGTGGTGTGCGTACCACGGGTGGTACCTCGGCACCTGGCAGGTGGTATGGGACCTAAACAAGTGTAGCGGGGGCATGAGCTGAAGTGGCGGCAGTGCCACAAAGGCCTGCTAAGGGCCCAGGATCGCCTCACGTGGCTCTAGCTGATTGGTGCTTCCAGTGGCTTTGGGGGTGGCTGGCAGCCACATGCAGTCTTTGGGCAGAGAGTCATCTGGAGCTGCGGTGTTGTTGAGGCTCTGCTGAGGGTCCCTGGATTGGTGCACGCAGCTCCAGCTGATCAGTGCTTCCGGCAGCCTCTGCTATCACCAGGAGCAGCAGATAGGCCTTGGAGTGAGAGAGTCAGCTGACAGGGCTGCCTGGGCTCGGCAGAGGCCCCAGGATCGGCCCACGCAGACAGAGAGTGGGTGACTGCATGGGGGAGTGAGACTGGGGGAGTGACTGATGCTAAAGCTCTCCCTGAGCCCCAGAGAGTTGTGCACCAGGAAGAGAAAAGGAGGAGGGGGGGGGAGAGAGGAGAGGAGGTTTTGGCGGGAGAGGGAAAAAAAGATAATGGGGAAAGAGAAGGTGACAGAGAAAGAAGAGGGAGAAGAGGAGAGGCTTCTGTGAGACAAACAGAGGGATCAATGAGGGAGCAGAGACTGTGAAAGAAAGAGAGAGGAGAGGGAGAGAGAAAAAAGAGCCAACCAGCCACCTGACCACCAAGGAAGTGGTGCATATTAATAAATATGGATAAATTTATTATATATTCGTCAGTGTAAAGGAAAAGTGATTCAGTAAAGGAACCACCTCTGAAGAAATTAAAACTGGTACTTTTTTCCTTTTTTTTTTTTTTTTTGGTCATCACACCTTGCTAAGCACTGGTGAAACTCGAATATTGTCATGTCCGAAAAGCGGTACAATCTGTGAAAAGGTTGAAAGCCCTGGCCTAGAAGAACCAACTGGGAATGGCCAGGAACCCAGGAAAAGAAAAGAAAAAAACGCTTAATGAACAGGAGTGTGTCTTTTTGATGAGTAGAAAATGAAGGATCTATATTTTTGATATCTAGAACCACAGCCAATGAGCAACCTACTAGACAATATGAGTAGTTAAGGCATTGGTTCTAGACAGTGGTTCTCAACCTGTGGGTCAGGACCCCATTTGGGGTCGAACGACCATTTCACGGGGGTCGCCAAACAACGCAGTCCGCCATTTTTTCCCCCTTTTCCTTAGCTGTGCTACTCCCTTTTATTCTATTGGCTTTTGAAAGCCAACAGAATAGACTCTCTTGAACAGAGTCTAATTCTATTGGCTTTCAAAAGCCAATAGGAATTGTCCAGGCTGTCTCTGCCCTGCTGAGCCCGCCAAAAGTCCCATTCTGCAAACGGTGCTGCACCAGTGGAGTAGTCCTCGACTTACGACCGGTTGGGGGTCGTGGCATTAAAAAGGTTGAGAACCACTGGTCTAGGACAATTCGCCACGGCCAACTCACCACAGCTAATTCAGCACGGCCAACTCACCACACCCAACTCGCCATGGGATAGTTCACCATGGCCAACTTACTGTGGGACAAAAGTTATTTAATATCAAAGAAATGGTGAAATAGCATCATTAAAGAAAGCACACAAAAGGAGGGACAAAATGAAATGGCAATGGCAAACATTAAAATCATTTAATAACTTTTAAAATTATTTTAAATAATGAAATAAAATCGTTGAACTGGCCTGCGGCAAGTTTTCCCGCTGCAAATTGTCCCATGGCGAGCTGGCCAAAGTGAGTTGGCCATGGTGAATTGGCAGCCAGAGTTGTCCCATTCTGAAGGCATTTAGCAGCTGGTACTCTGGTATTTAAGTAGCTACCCAAAAAAAAAAAAAACTCTTGTGCTACTTGTTTTTTTTTTAAAAAAATAATTTTTTGTTCCTCTATCCCTGGGGACTTTTTTTTTGCTGCTTTCCCAAACCCTAAGAATCATCTTCTATCTTAGGTCAGCAGTGCAGAGGTCATGAGGGCACCTTGGCTGCTTATGGGTGTGTATGTGTTGTGTGGGTGTGTGAGGTTCAGCAGGGAACAGACTGCTGATTTTTTTCCTGTTGGTGCAATTGGGATTTGTCAATTGCACCAGCAGGAATCAAGAACAGGAGGGGTAACTATAATGATCTCATGCAAAGTCCAGGGAGAGGAAGATTGATATGCATATCTATTATGGGATACAATGGAGGAGGGGGAGGAGGAAGTGAGGCACAGGGGAATTCCAGACAAGGCTTTTATTGTGCGCCCTCAGGCTTCATGCATGGAATTTAGCATGGAAGGCAGCATTGTTGATTTCCATTGGTAACTGCCCCTCGTCTTCCCACTGTTTCCCCTATTTCTTTTTCTTCCTACCATAAAGAAATCCATTAACAAGGGGAACAAAATAGCTTTGTCATCTTGTTTATTGGGATCAGTTTAGAAACATCCAGTGTTAAAGAGGAAAGCCAAGTTTGGTTTTAAAATCACTGGCCATATTTTATCCTGGTGGTCTCAACCTAACCCCAATGAATTAACTGGTCTTCATATTAATTCTCTCTCCTTTCCAGGCCTTCCTTGCCAGCATCTGAACGTTGCAAAACTGGGTTTGATGCTATTGCTAACATTCGTGGTGAAGTTTTCTTCTTTAAAGGTAAGTCAAGCAGGGCAGCGTAAAAATAGTCCTTGACTTATGACTAGATCAGAACTTTTGCTGGTAAGCAAGGCAGCTGTTAAGTGAATCCCCCTCAGTTTTATGACTCTTTTGGCCACGGTTGTTAAGTGAATTACATAGTCGTTAATTGAATCCAGCTTCACCCATTGGCTTTGCTTGTCAGAAGCCAGCTGGGAAGGTTGCAATCACGTGACCCTGGGACGCTGCAACCATTACAAATATATGCCAGTTCTTGAATTTTGATTTGCTATGGGTGTGGTTTTGTCAAAAACTAGAAGTAAATGCCGGTTGTTGGCAAAACTGCCATGAAACAGAGTCATGTGACTGCAGGATGCTGCAGACGGCTGTTAATGTAGCTGTGTTATTGAGCAGCCAAAGTTTGATCACATGACCACGGAGAGGCCCAACTGTTGGAATTTTGAATCCAGGTTGTAAGTCCCCATTTTTTGGGTTGGTCGTAACTTCAGCGGTTGCTAAGTGATCGGTCATAAAGCAATCTGTAAAATGGGAAAACCCATAATAACTGGTTGTGTGGACTTTTGGAACTGGAATACAGTGATTGCTGCGACAGGAAACTGCAGCAAACAATTACATAATTTACTTGTGTTACTTACTTTCTCTCCATTGGTTTTTGGCAATGCAGTCTTTTTTATTATTATTTTGAGAGATTGGGAGGTTTAAAAGGGAACGGGGAGCTGCCCCCATCCACTTTGGTTTCTATGAATGTGGCCACATAATTTTTTGCAGCGAGACATTTTTGGAGGATACAGCCATCCCAGAATCTGGTTTCTATGGAGCCAGCCCAGACTCTTCGCTTCTGGAACGGACTCCCCCCAGATTTTAAGACAATTGATGCTGCATACGAACGTGCCAACGACAGCCAGATTGTGTTCTTTATTGGTGAGTGTGGCAAGGTGGCAATGGGGTGTGTGTGTGGCAGATTTATTCGGAAGAAGAGTCTATACTAATGCAAAAGGAGGCTAAAATAGGAAAAATCAGCTTAAAATCAAGATTTTAGAGGAAAATCTTAAAGGCCGAGGTCTTTCAATTAATCTGCAAGTCAGAATCCAGGAATGTGTAAATCATTCACTGTCAGGTCCAACAAACCAAGAACGACACATGGACTTACTTCTGAATAGTTTCTTTACTGTGGGGTCCTTCATGCTCTTTGAGCTTGGTTGTTTTCTTGCAGATGTTTTGTTACCCAAGTAGATAACATCATCAGTGCTTTGTTTATATACAAGTGGCTAACACTGATGATGATATTTAGTTTGGTAATGAAATGTCTGCAAGAAAACAACCAAGCTCAGAAAGCACCCAAGAGCCCATAATTCAACCCTGAACTATAAATATTCTTTTCTGTTGAGAATTTCTTTATTAGAATCTTGCCAGACTAAAACAACTATTTGCATAAATACATATTCTGTGAACTGCTAGGGAGGGTCCGTCTTTGCCCTCTTCCTGCCTACCAGACATTCCAAGCTCCTGTCTCTTTGCAAAGCAGCCCCTCCCTCCTGGGACTGCCGACTTCATTTCCCACCTTCCCCTGGAGTAGCTCTGGAGATATGACTCCTCTAGGAGAGTGTAGCTTTGGAGTAGCTAGATGTGCACCACACATACACGCACCACCTAGATCTGAAGTTCGAAGAAGCAGCTTCTTTGATATAAATCAAACAGCATATTACACACCTAAAAATGAGCACCTCCTAGACCAGGGGTAAGGCAACCTTGGCTCTTTTATGACTCGTGGATTTCAACTCCCAGAATTCCTGAGCCAGCATGGCTCAGCTTGGAAACCTTTCCCTTTTCCCTCAGCATGGCTGGCTCAGGAATTCTGGGAGTTGAAGTCCAAGAGTCATAAAAGAGCCAAGGTTGCTTCCCTAGACCATCCTAGACCATCACGAGAGACTGCAAAAATCCAGTGTGGATCACACCATAAGGCAGAATTCTTGAGGAACAGACTTCTGTGTAGCTTTATGGCTAACTCAGAAGGAGAGAGGGAGCAAGAAACAAGTTCACTTCTAAACAAGTGGAAGCATAATACTGTCAGTTGTCCTGTTTGGCATATTCAAAAAAATTAGGAACTCCTGGTCCAAAGAGTTTACAAAGAGTAAAATCTCCAAGGTGTTTTTTCACGAGGCAACTGGACTTTCTTGTTTTTTTCTTTGAAGACGTTTTGCTTCTCATCCAAAAAGTTTCTTTAGTTCTGGCTGAATGGTGGGGAATAAAAAGATTTATATTCTTTGCAAACAGCTGGTCGTTTGCATTCTTTTAGAGAGTGGTTGAGGCCACCTGGAGGTTTATCTGTGTCGTCAGGGTCACTTGAGTAGTGCAAATGGGCATGGAGCCTTCTTGGAACTGCTGAAAGGATTGTGTAGATGATGTCATATCCCTCCCCTTCTGCTGAGAGAAGGTTGTTCAACTTTGACGTAGATGGCCTGACGACATAGATCAGTGATGGTGAACCTTTTAGAGACTGAGTGCCCAAACTGCAACCCAAAACCCACTTATGCATCATCGAGTGCCGGGTGGGTGTGGCCCATTGGCTGGGCATGGCCAATTGGGTGGGCGTGGCTGCGGTGGTAACGGCAGACTGGGTGGGACTAAACAGTTCAATCAATCAATTCCAACTTTGCAAGATCTTTTTTTTTTCCGCGAGAAGTTGAAATTGAGTGAACCTTCTTTTTTTTGGAACATGGCGGCTGAGGTCTAAAGCAAAAAGGTTTTATAAAACCCAGCTGAAGGCCTAGGACTGGAGTGATGGCGTACGTGCCCACAGAGAGGGCTCTGAGTGCCGCCTCTGGCATCCCTGCCATAGGTTTGCCACCACTGACATAGATAAACCTCCAGGTGGCTTCAACGTCTCTCTAAAAGAATGCAAACGATCAGCTGTCTGCAAGGGGTATAAATCCTTCCAGTCCCCACCATCCAGTCAGAGCTGAAGAAGCTTCTTGGATGAGAAGTGAAACATCTTCAAAGAGAAACAAGAAAGTCCAGTTGCCTCGTGAAAAAAGCATCTTTGGGATAACTATGACCTGGATGACTGAGAATCTCCATAGACACCAAGAGTAAAACTTTATTGAAAGATCCATCTAGGTACAGCAGAAGCAAAGTCAATTCTGAGGTTTTCCTGTGAAAACCAACATAAGTAAAAACCCCTTTTCATCCCTGGGCCACCTATAATTCCTTGTCCACCAATTGAATGCAGTATTTGAAAAGTTCTCGGAACTTGACTTGGGGGATAACATTGCACAGGCAACAGAGGGTTCTTGTGCGTTTCTTAGCCTTCCCCATTCCCTAGGAATTTACAGAAAAAAAACCCCTCCCATTTCTGTTTGGCAAACTGTGAACTGAAATCAGGTGCAGGCAATGATGAAGCCGAATCAGCTTTGACAAACACATTAATTCACCGTGCCTATCAATTAGCCAACATAGATTTTATATATATATATTTATTTACTAAACAAATTTATATACCTGGCCAACTCACAGATACAGTAGTGCCTCTGGGCAGCTTATGAAATTTGGAAGTTAGATAGATATTTGATATATGGGAGATACATATGTTGTTGTTTTAACCAGTTGTGTCCGACTTTTGGCGAGTGCTTTCTAGGCAAATGCTCTCCATGCTAACCTGTCAAGCACAGCTTCTTTCAGTTGTTGGATGTTCATCTTTGTATTGGTTACAATGGTTCCAAGCCAGCAAGCTCTTTGCTTGCCCCTTGTTCTTGTTCCACTAACCATTCCTAGCATCATTGGCTTCTCCAATGACTTTGTTTGCATGACGTGAACAAAGTAAATCAGATTTAGTCTTGTGAGCTTGGTTCCTAATGTGTCTGGTTTTATATGATTCAGCACCTTTGTGTTGGTTGCTCTGCTGTCCATGGTTTACACAGTAATTTACACCAGCACTACAGTTCAAAGATCAATTCATCTTTGATCAGCCATTCTTAATGTCCAACTCTCACTCCCATACATCATTATAGGGAAGACTATTGCTCTAACTAGCTTGCTTTTTGTATTTATACCAATATCTCTGCTTTTCCAGGGAGATGATGATAGATAGATTACAGATGATGATAGATAGACAGACAGATGATGGATAAATTATGATGAAGATAGATAAATGATAGATTAAAAGATGATGATGATGATGAAGATAGATAGATAGATGATAGATTAAAAGATGATGATGATGAAGATAGATGATAGATGATAGATAGATAGATAGATAGATAGATAGATAGATAGATAGATAGATAGATAGATAGATAGATAGATAGATAGATAGATAGATAGATTTGGGGGCTAGGTATTAGATTTTGAAAATATCTGATTCATATCTGGAAAATATGGATCAAATGCATATGGCCCCAACAGAAATTATTTATGGAATTGAATTTGCCTCTCTTCTACAGAATTAATTTCTTGCTTCCTCCTCTTTGCAGGACCCTACTACTGGGTTTTTTCTGACACTCAAGTCAATCATGGTTATCCCCGCCCCACATCCAATCTGGGACTCCCTCCTGGCACCGTAGTTGGGGCTGTGTTTGTTTGGCCTCACAATGGTAAGACGTATCTCTTAGAGAAGAACCGCTACTGGCGCTATGATGATCAGCTGGGCCACGTGGAACCGGGATATCCCAAACCGGTCAGCCTCTGGAAAGGAGTCCCTTCTGAGCTGGATGACATCACCCATTGGAATGATGGTATGTTCTCCTTTCTCAAATGCAGCAACTTTAAGATGTGTGGACTTCAACTCCCAGAATTCCCCAGCCAGCAACTTAAAGTTGCTGAGGGTGAAAAACACCAAACTAAGGCATACAATACTGTAGGACTGTGGCCCACTACCAGGCCGTGGCCTGTTTGAATACGAGCCAAGCTAGCGATGGGCTCCTCTTGGCGAGCAGAGGGTGCTTGTGCTTGCATGCAAAGTTCCACATGCGAGCATTTTTCGTTCATGCGAGTGAGGTTTTGCGCGCGAGCACAAGCACCCTCCACTTGAGTGAGCAGAGCTTTGTGCAAGCACCACCACTCACGTGCAAGGCTCCATTTGCTTGAGTGGAGGGTGTGTGCGCCCGCCACTCGCACTATTGGAGCTCTGTGTGTATGCATGCATCTGCCACTCACACGCCCCCCTCACCCTGCACCAGGCTGGTATACCAAGGTGGAAAGGTTAGGGACTGCTGTTGTAAGGAGTCTCCAACAAGCCTGTTCCAGACATTAGTTTTTTTCCCCCAATAATTATTTAGTGACACCCAGTTGCAGAAATGCGCAGTGCAGTTCCCACATATCAAAGCACTGAACTATGCAGATTTTGGTACTGAGGTGGTCCTCAACTTACAACCATTCTTTTAGTGACCGTTTGAAGGTACAGCACCACTGAAAAAAGTGACTTGTAACTATTTTTCACACATACAACCGTTGCAGCGTCCCCAGGGTCATGTGATCAAAATTCAGACGCTTGGCAACTGATTCATATTTATGATGGTTGCAGTGTCCTGGAGTCACGTGATCTCCGTTGTGACCTTCTGACAACCAGATTCACTTAACAACTTAACTGTAACTAACGTAATAACTACAGTGATTCACTTAACCACTGTGGCAAGAAAGGTTGTAAAATGGGGCAAAATTCACTTAACAACTGTCTTGATTAGCAAAGGAAATGTTGAGCTCAGTTGCGGTCATAAGTCGAGGACTGCCTGTATTGAGTCTTTGACTTAACCATTCTCCCAACAATGCCGAGAATAACTTGCAGATACTGAGGCTCATCTTTGAAAATAAATTCGTAGAAAAAAAGCAGGCCATATTTAAATATACATCCAGTTAACCAACTTCAACAAAATAGAAAAGCGATAGTAAAATAGGAAATCACAAGGGGGAGGACAACCTCTAAGTCAAATGAACAAAAGTCTATATCTGAGAATTCCTAGCATTTAAGCAATATAGCAAGTTTATTGTTAAACATCAAAGGATGTTCAGAAGTGAGACTGCTGGGCCTATAGCAGGGCTCTCCAACCTTGGCAATGTTAAGACTTGTGGACTTCAACTCCCAGAATTCCCCAGCCAACATGTGCTGGCTAGGGAATTCTGGGAGTTGAAGTCCACAAGTCTTAACATTGCCAAGGTTGCAGACTCCTGCCCTATAGGCATTTTTTTCTGTCCATCACTTTCCTTTAAAATGCCAGTGATGTGAGGAATTGTTCTGTATTCTGATATCCTTCTCATTCCCATTTTAGTTAAGTAATTTATGTCACAGTCATATACATATTTTAAAGTATATTACCAAACTCCCCTAGGATTGTTTATCTTTTCAGCCCCTTAAAATTCATTCAATTTTCTTTAAATCATCTTCCAAGCTGAAAAAGTCTTCCTCTCTTTCTACTAAAATATGCATCTACTACAAGTTAAAAGTGGTGGGGAAAAAAGTGGTCTCAAAAATAGCCAAGGTACTTTTAACACAGTAAAATCCAGATGCATTTATTTCCACAGTAAAGTAATGGAGCCACTTACCATAGTAATCTCAGGCATTGTTCACTTCAGCTGGGTTCTTCCAAATTCAGGGACAAAATAAATGTCATATTCATTCATTCATTCATTCATCCATCCATCCATCCATCCATTCGTTCTTCTTTCCCTTGCAGGCCTTATATATTTCTTCAAGGATACTCACTACTGGCGCTTTAAAGGTGGCAGTGTAGAGGCCGATTCAGCCCATCCACGCTCCATTCCCCGTGACCTGATGTTTTGCTCAGATCCTACCACGGTTCCCCCCAAAGGACCAAGAACTGGGCAGAGAGGGGAGGACGGTCTATGCCTCTGTGGGACAAATGGACAAAACAAAAACTCCTTCACAGCTTGGATCTTAATTCTGCTTTGGATTATATGGTGATTGCTAGGTTAGCTACACAACTATGCACTTTACATTATAAAGAGAAGAGAAAACAAAACAGTGGGGGGGGGATATATGGTATTCCCTAGCAAAAGGTGCTGGATACTTTTCCTTTTATTCTTTTGGTGCTCTCAGTATTCAATACTGGCTTGGCAATTTTGCTCTCATGCTCAGTTTCTGAAAAAGAAGTGCTTAGTCTTAAAACTAACATGGAAGTCCTGGATCTTAATCCTGAATGTGTGATTATATCATTTCTCAGGGGCGAAGGAAATGCTTTCTGCGCGTGCTCAGGGGTGCTGATCTTTCTGATTCTGTCACGTACCAAAAAGCTCAGATTAACCATAAATTACGTGATACCCTTTGTGCTTTCTCTGAGTGGAAAGCAGATAAGGTTTAAGCTCAGATTTGTCTTCAGGATGTCACTAGAGGTAGGAGACAGGGAAAAAAACCCACCCTTTGGAAAAGTAAGTCTAACCTGTGAATACATCCACATATAAATAAGGAGAATGTGAGAAAACCAGGGTTGAGGAATATCTCAGGAAAGTAACTCATCCGCATGGCTGCTGTCATTGTCATATTATGTACTGGCAATTATGGTCTGTGTACATTTGACTTTGTGGGATGAACACCATTTGGGAGTGTATAGGATTCAAAAATTTTAGGTCCAGAGCTTAGCTTATAAGAGAAGAGCCCAAGAACATTGAAGGAAGTTAATTTAATATGATTTAAAATCTGCTTGGAGATGAGGGGAGGGAAGAGCAGAGTAGCCAGGAAGAAATGCGTCATATTTTAATAATAAAACCCAGAAGAAAACCATCCTGACTTGCTATTGCTGTTTGGTCTCATCTCCTAAGACAAAACTAAGACTTTGAAAAGTAACAAAGTCAGTGTCTGAGTTATGGGCATAATTTGGCTCCTTGGTTTTGATCCTGTAGAAATAATTTTTGTGCATCTAAAGATATCCAATTACCACTATTACTCAGCCTTGGCCATTTCAAGATTTGTGGATTTCAATTCCCAAAATTCCCCAGCCAGTATTCTCGGAGTTGTAGTCAACACATCTTTAAGTAACTAAGGTTAAGAAATAATGGGTTAGATCACCAGGATCCCACATTATATTCCATGCCTTTGTGATTTGCTTAACAACCACTTAATAACTGCAGTGGTTCACTTAACATCCATGGCAAAAAAAATTCATAAAATCAGACGCAACTCTTAACAACCTCTTTGCTTAGCAACAAAAATTCTGGTCCCAATTGTTATCATAAGTCAAAGACTATGTGTAGTGTCTTGAACCTCTGAATTAAATGTGGGATAAAAATATAATAAAAATGGGTCAGTTAAATAGGTTATTATTAAATGCAACTTTAAAGAGATTCTAAACCATGCCTGGTCAATCTGTTCTGCATACTTTGCCCTCCATGAAAAAGGAACTGAAAAATCAAGATACACCAGTGGTTCTCAACCTTTTTAATGCCACGACCCCAACCGGTCGTAAGTTGAGGACTACCCAACCAGTCGTTAAGTCAAGGACTTTCCCTGCCTGGGAGCGCCACGCATGCATGGTGCCACCCCCTGCGCCGGCAGAGGCGTAGCTGGCAAGGGGCAGCGACGGCGCAGGGCGACCACCAGCTGGGACACCAGCTAGCCCAGCCCAAGGGAGGTAAGGCACCCACCGGGCCCCACACGTGCCAGCAACCCTCCCTGCGCCCGCCGGCCCTCAACCTCCCACCCCTGGCCCTCTTTTACTTACATTTTTAGTAGTTGCTCAGCAGGGAGGGGTGGAAGCTTCCAGACAGCTTGCCTTCACTGCAGACAACTTGCAGCACCGTTTGCAGACTGGAGCTTTTGGCGGGCTCAGCAGGGCAGAGACAGCCTGGACAATTCCTATTGGCTTTTGAAACACCATCACATATATAATTTGCCAAATATACCTTCCATAGTTGTTGCCCACCCAGCTATTGAGGAAGACATTTGCTTGGCCTCCCTTCCTGCAAAGGCTCATGGGATGCTAGGGAAGAGTGGGAGGGGTACTTTGCATTTCCAAAATCACAACTTTGGACCAAGGGAGTGGGTTTCATTAAGGCCAGGGATTTTTCAAAATGTGTACTTGAAGAACGATTTCCTAATTTAGTGCACAAGGAGGAAAAAAATGGGTTTCCACACCGTTCTATGAAACCTTAAATGCAGCGGTTTGATGTGAATTGTGCAGAGCCCAGGAAGATGTCAACAGAAAACTGAATCATATCCCGGTGAGCTTATGGGAAGGTCCTGTTAACCTCACTTTAGCTTCCTTATTTTCAAAACAGCAGCTCTGAAACATATTGGTACAGAAGATCAAGAGGTTTCTAAATACTCTTGCCACTTATCTCTTTCTCAACCCCTCAGCCGTGCCTCTCAGGGGAAGAAAAAAGGGAGGGAGGCTGTTCTTATCCATTAGGCAAAAAGCCATTAAGTGTGGGCTATTTTGATTTCAATCCAGATGGAGAGAAGAGCATTTAGAGGAAAGTCTCCTTATGCGAAGAACAAACCAAGGCCTGGACTCTGCTTTTCAAAAGCCAGCCTTCTCTAGATGCTACCAGAGACAGAAGTATGGCTGACTTCAGGGCCCTGGGCAGGCTAGAGACAAAAACTTGGAAAGAGCCAGGGCTTCCTGCAGAGAAGTAGGTTGCCCTGTTTGAAACCCAAGGTCTTTTGAATTCTCAAAACAAATTCCAGCTCTTGTCTGGTTAGGATTTGCCAAGCTGGGTAGGTTGTAGATTGTGTGTAGAGAGACTAACAGCTAAACTGGAGAAGTCAGCCTTTGCTGACTCAACATGCCACGTCCTGGCCTTTTGAGATATATTTGGAAGCACAGAGGCCCTGGTGGGGATTAAGCAGAAGATTTACCTCACAAACGCAAGTGCTCCAAAGCACCCACTTGCCTTGGAATATGAAGCTCCACCCAGTCCTTATGTGGATTACAAGTAGTCCTCGACTTATGAAGCTGGAATTATGGTCATAAATCATTGCAGTCATAAATAGATACACCCACGTGACTGGAAGTAACTTTCTGGCTTTTATCATGATTATTAAGCAAATGCCAAAGTTGTTAAATGAATGTCACAGTCATTAAGTAAACCCATTCACTTGAGTGGGCGTTTTTGCTGGAAACCGGCAAAAAGCATCACAAAACAGTCACATGACCATGGGATGCCATGACCGATCATAAAGATGACTATGCAGTCATGGAGAGGGGAACAGTGTGACAATTTAAATGGCCAGGAGTGCTTTAGGGCCATAAAACAATTTTACTGTGGCTGTCATAACCTCAAAACAGTTATAAAACAACCCGCTCATTAAGTGACCACTACCTGTATCCTGACTACATCCGCATGACACATTGAACCACAAACTGCCACTACTATCTAGTGCAAGGGTAGGCAACCTTACCCCTGATCTAATGGCTCTGAAAACCCCATCTGTGTGAGTGATTTATGATACATTAAGTTGTATAAATCCTGGAAATTGAATCAACATAGCAAACCACAGCTAAATTATTGTGTTGTGCAAAGCTAGTACAGTATGTGTAAACATGCTACATTAGGCAAGTGTAGCCACTGTTGGACTGTAAATGGGGAACCCAGAGCAATATCATAAGAAAGAAAAAAGAGAGACAGTCGCTCAGAAATGACTATGGCAAAATTCTTCTCTTTGCTATCAAGTCAACCAGAGGGATGGGCAGTGCATAGGAATTTAATGATCTGAAATCTAAAATCTTCTCTTGGAGTCAGGCACTTGCAGGAACCCAAGAAAGAGACAGCTGGACTGCTCTCCTGCAATGCTACTTTGCCATAAGCAGCATGTTTTGAATTCCTGCAGAAGTATTCCCCAACTTCGATTCCAGAGTGAGAGCATTCCTGGATGACCCTCCTGTGGGTCATTTTCCTAGTGATATCAATTTGTTCAAACCATTTTCATGGGCAAAAAACTGGCACCACATTTTTGTTTTTTAATATATAAATTTATTTGAATTTTAAATTAGTTAATTCTACTTAGCTTCTAGCCCTCTCGTCTCTCAATCCCTCCCCATTCCTTCCATTCATTTCCGAGTAATCTAGAGGTCCTGCCTCTCCGTTTTTTGATCATGTTCAACTGGCTGTATTATTCCTGTTCCAGACAAAGCGGGAATCCTGGCTTCCAAGTTGCATCCAGATCCAGAATCCCTTCCTCCCTTAGGAAGCAGCTGAAGTTGCAGGAGCTTGGTCACTGGGAGCAGCTGCTCCAGCTGCATTTGCATCCATTTGAGGTGCACGCTTGCGTTTAAAGAATCCAAACTGGAGAGATGATAGAGGCAAGGGGGGATAGGGAAGAGAGAGAAAAACAGATTTAAGATGGAGAAATTGCAATGCATCTCTCAACAATACTAAAATAATAGGATCAATAACAACAGGATCTTCTAACCTCTTTTCTAAAATACAAAAGTAACTGCAAAGAGTACCTAACAGGGAATCTGTTCCATCTGTTTTATCCAACAGATTTCCTTGGTTCTGAAAAGATCCAGGGCGTACAATTTAAATGTGCTAATGCAGCATTTTTCAACTTTGAGAATTTTAAGACCTGTGGGCTTCAACTCCCAGAATTCCCCAGCCAGCCATTGATATAGCAGATCAGAGATAACTTAAGGATTAAAGTGCATAGGACAGATGAAGTTAATTTGGCTGGGGAATTCTGGGAGTTGAAGTCCATGTATCTTAATTTTGCCAAGGTTGAGAAACACTCTGCTAATGTATATGACTGTACAGGTAGTCCTCAATTTACAACCATAATTGAGCCTGGCAATGAAGGGAGGAAGTTGTGACAGTCGTAAAGCAGGTCACCCTATGACTGAATCTAATATTACAACCTTTTTTTAAAGTGAACCCATTGTTCGCTTTGGGCTGGTTTTAAGCCATCGTAAATTGTGGTCACATGACCACAGGGCCCGGCAAATGGCTGTAAATGTGGGCCAGTTGCTGAGCACCCAAAATGCAGTCACATAATTGTGGAAGGGATGACATCAGAACTTCAAAATTCAGGGCATAAGTAGCTTTTGGAGAGCCCATTATATTTCAAACGGACACTAAGGGACAGGTCTTAAATACTTTATTGGTTCTTCCTGCCAGACCATATTCTGAGCTACAGGAGGCTGAGATTTTCTGATGTAGTATATGGATTGCCAAAAAATATTTCAGGGGTTAATAATACTGTGGTAACTTACAGTGTATGGGGAACACAGCCTATGTTTATACTTTATTTCTATCTGAAGTTCCTGCTAAAAAATTAGCTGTCCTACTTTGCAATCAGATAGAGCAGGGAACTTCAAACGTGGCCCTTCATGACTTGTAGACTTCCCCAGAATTCCTCAGCCAGCCTGACTGAGGAATTCTGGGAATTGAAGTCCACAAGTCATAAAAGGGCCAAGTTTGAAGACCCCTGAGACAGACGGACAGCCTCCACTTAAACAGGTTCTGAGGTTGATTTAAAGGAGAGATGGGAATAAGGTCCCATAAGCCCAGATCCTAGCAAGACCCACATCAAACAGTCAAAACAACCAGCACAAACCTTATACAAGACAGCCACTATAATGGCTAAAAGCACAATGCCTCCAATGGTGCTGCCAATGATGATGGGGACAGGATTGAACGGTGAAATTAACTCAATTTGTGTGGTGATCTGAAAAAGAAAAGCAATAGGAAACTGAAGTCTGTTCCTACAACTAGTTTCAATTCTAGGAATCAGTTTACCCAGAAGCCTGCTTGCTAGAGTCAATTGCAAAATTGCCCAAAAGATAGCAT